TGGACGGATGGGGCCCGGTGGGCGTTGGTCGCGGGCTGAACGCGGGGCCGGACGCTGTCGGCGCCTCAGCCCGAGGCCGGCGCCCGGCCTCTGAGCCGCAGCGCCACTTACGGTTTTCTGGTGGTTCATTGGAGATAAGAGCCCCACAGACCGTCCTGCCCGGGCTGGCTTTGAACCGCCATCCTCAGATCTCAGCCCCCTCAGTAGCTGGGATGGCAGGCGTGAGCCACCAGCGCTCCACCAAAACGTTGGGGTTTTTTGTTTGTTTTTTGGGTTTTTTTGTTTGTTTTTGATAATTGATTCTGAAGGCCAGAAAATGGGGGGTTTTGATTGTTTTGTTTTGTCCAAGGCCGTGCAGAGCCCCAGGATATCCTACAGCTGAATTCTAAAATGTGGGCTCCAACATCCAAACTACTAAACTACCATGTGTACTGTTTTACCCATCTGACCCAGAAGCTTTCAGCAGTTTTCCAGTTGTTGTACTCGCTCTGTAGGGGCTTTTCATTCTACCTGTTAGAGATCTGAAGAACTCAGCATAAGGCTGGTAACCTGGCTTCCAGAGCCTGGTTTAAACTTCTTTAAGTACCATGGCTCTGCATTGTGCTATCCACTACTGTCTGCCACTCAACCTGCACTCAATCTCAGCTTGCAAAATAGTGCCATCTTTTTATTTACTATTTATTATTTTTACTTTTATTCTGGTGTGTTTTAGGACTTGAACCCAGGGCCTCAAGCTTTTACTTGGTTTTTCCACTCAAAGCTGGCACTACTACTTGAGTCACACCTCTACTTCCTATTAAGTTTTAGTGAGGATTTATTCTAAATAAAATTTAAACATTTCCTGCTCCCAGTGTTCTAATAGATAGCTTTCATACTTTTTGAGGTAGGTGAATATACAGGATTGTGTCATCTAGTAACTCCTAATCATTAGACAATGGTTCTGGGTCTAAGTTGGCTGAGGCACACTTAAAGCCTAGATAACCTTCAGGACTTTCTTTTGCCAGATATGCATTTCATTTTTTCTGCCTTCATCCTTCCAGGAAGAGTTCCCAGATTTTTATGATTTTAAAGGAGAAGGGAGATTCAGATAGCCTCTCCTGTGGTGTCTCGTCTGAGGAAACTTTGCAGTGAATGTTTCATTAGTGCTGTGGCTCTCAGCCCAGCCATGCCAAGCAGGATGCAGGTTTTGTTTTGCCTACAGGGCAGTACAGTTTTGGTCAGTTTCTGTTCTCTGACAGGTATCTCTGTGGCCTTTTACTTTTAAGTTCCTTTTTGTGAGCCGCAGGTGTAGAGATTTAATTGTTATAGTTCCATTCCTTGGCATATTGACTTTATATAGGACCCTTCTGTTAATTTTGGCGTGTGTGTGTGTGTGTGTGCGCGCGCGTGCATGCATGCGTGCTTGTGTTCTGGTCCTGGGCTTGAATTCAAGGCCTGGGCACTTGATCCCTGAGCAGTTTTTGCTCAAGGCTAGCACTACTGCTTGAGTCACAGCCCCACTTCTGGCTTTTTGGTGGTTCATTAGAGATTAGTCTCACAGATTTTCCTGTCTGGACTACTTCATACTGTTAGGTCTTAGACTTCTGAGTAGCTAGGATTACAGGCATGAGCTATGAACTAAAAACGAGTGCACCAATGCTCCGGAAATACCCACAGACAGGCCAGCCCCTCCCTTGCATGGGCCTTCCTTGCCATCCGCCCCGCTTCCTCAAAGGAGGGAAGAACCAGAAGGCCAGAAGTCAAAGGCTTGTTTAGTTCATAGTTTATTGAAGTTCTTCTCCCTTTCAGAGTCTGGAGCCCCTCCCACCAGATGGGCCTGATTTCGGAGCATTGGGAGATGAAGCCCAATTTGTTGAAATGGAACCTGAAGCTAAGCAGGAAATTCTGGAAAACAAAGATGTAAGTTTCCTATTGAAAGCCTAGTGCTGCAGCCTGTATACATATATATGTATGGAATTATATATGGATGTGTGTGACTAGACAGAGGTGGTTTTTTTTCCTATGTGATTATGTGGTTGATTTAGACAAACACATTCTTAGGTTTACTTTATGTGTGTGTGTGTGTGTGTGTATATATATATATACACACACACATACGCATATATGTATACACACACACACATGTTGTTGTTGTTGTTGGTTGTGGGGCCTGAACTCTGGGCCTGGGCTCTGTTCCTCATCTCTTCAGCTCAAGGTGAGCACTCTACCACTTGAGTCACAGCGCCACTTCTGGCTTTTTCTGCTCATGTGGTGCTGAGGAATTGAACCCAGGGCCTCATGCATGCAAGGCTAGCACTCTACCACTGAGCCACCTTCCCAGCCCCTCTCTAATTTCAAAGACTCAAATCAAGCCTAAGTTTATGTATCTTGCTCCTTGAAAAAAGCAACTCAGGTCTCAACTGCAGCTTTCCCCCAAGTTTGTTTTTTTTTTGGGTCTGGTCGTGGGGCCTGAACTCTGGGTCTGGGTCTGGGTGCTGTCCCTCAGCTCTTCAGCTCAAGGCTAGCACTCTACCACTTGAGCCACAGTGCCACTTCCGGCTTTTTTCTTTTTGCTTATGTGGTGCTGAGGAATTGAACTCAGGGCCTCAGGCATGCAAGGCAAGCGCTCTACCACTGAGCCACCTTCCCAGCCCCTCCCCCAAGTTTTTTAGTGTAAATATTAACTTTCTGACTTCTAAAGAGTTTGCAGGAGAGAGTGGACAGCTCTGGTGTGGTCCATGCAGGGTCTCTGGCAGGACATGGTGTATGGAGTGAGGGGTGGGCGGGGACCAGCCTGTGGGGGTGCATGTGGGCAGCCCAGAGGCCTTTGAGCCTTTCTGGGTAGCGGGCTGGCATGGTCCTGGCTTGGCTGGCTGTAGAAACAGGATCTGGTTCACAAATAGGACAGACCTAGGTCTGTACAGTCAGAATTTTGAAAAAGTGAAAACTAAGAATAAAGTCCATGAACAAGAAGACTTACAGGTTATTATCACAATTGAAGACCAGCTGGCCCGACACTTCAAGCACTTGTCTGTGGCCATGATGTCTGGAGCAGGCCTGCTCTTAGGTGCAGTTGGTGTGACCTTGTCCCCTGCAGGTGGTGGTTCAGCATGTGCACTTTGACGGACTGGGAAGGACGAAAGATGATATCATCATTTGTGAAATTGGGGAGGTTTTTAAGGCTAGAAACCTCATTGAGGTAAGTCGGCTCTGTTTGGCTTTTTTTTTTTTAAACGTATCTGTTGTACCTCTTTCTTGACCTTTGCTCTTGCCTGATGTCCAATCTCCCGGGCTCTCTTTCTTGCTGTGTTCACTTTGAGGGTTCTGTTCCCTCTTACCCCTACTCCCCAGCACTGCTTTCATTCTCCCTGGGGAAGCTCCCCCTGCCCCCCAGCAGCTACGTGCTGCTGGTCCTAGCCAGCTCTTCTCCATTGAAAGCCAATTGTACAGCCGCCTACTGGACTCTTCCTCAGGGAGTTGCCAGGGTGCCCTGCTCCATGCTGAGATCTGAAGTGACCCACTCACAGTGATCTTGTCTGTCTGACTCCTGGGGGGTGGGGCACTAGGTGAGGAGCCTTAACAGAGGGTCTCCAGGGCTTCCTCCTACAGGAGCCCTGCCTAGGGCTTGTGGTTACCCAGCCTGGCACCCTCCATCCTTCTGAGCAGGAAATCCCACCTACTTCTTCCATTCTTTCCCCTGAAGGGTAACACAATATCCTTTGTTATGATGCAAGATCCTTTGCTACTCTGCCTCCATTCGTCCTTAACAAGAATGGACTCCTGGCCTCAGAAAGGACTGCCGTTCATTGAAAGGAGGGAAAAGGTTGAACGCTGTTAGAATCATTAGAAAGTCAAAACAGCACAAGACAGCTGTGCACACTTCACAAAGAAAGCCGACTTCACAAGAGCTTGTGGTTCCTTCCAGGAAGGTGTGGTGCTCCACATGCGCCTCCAATGCCTTTTCTTTTTCTGCAGTCATTCTGCGCAGCCCACGTGCAATTGGCGTAGTGGGCATTCTTTGGTTTTGTTTTGTCAGTTGTGGGGTTTGAACTCGGGCTGGGCGCTGACCCTGAGCTCTCTGGCTCAAGGCTAACGCTCTACCACTTGAATCACAGCATCATTTCCAGTTTTCTGGTGGTTAATTGGAGAGAAGAGTCTCATTGCTTTGGACCACAATCCTCAGATCTCAGCCTCCTGAATAGCTAGGGCACTCTTGTGCTTTATGAAGGGCTGTGAGCATGGTTGGCACTCGAGTAGGCTCTATAGAGTGCCATCGGTGTGGTTGGCACTTTTTTTCTTTCTATCCTTATTATAAAGGTGTTGTACAGAAGGGTTAGAGTTACGTAAGTCAGGTAAAGAGTACATTTCTTTTTAGACAGAGTCACAACTTCCCTTCCTCCCAGTTTTTTCCTACCATTCCCACCCACAAGTTGTATAGTTTTTCTTTCTTTTTGTTGTTGTTGTTGGCCATAAGGCTTGAACTCAGCACCTGGGCGCTGTCCCTGAGTCCTTTTTTGCTCAAGGCTGGCACTCTACCACTTTAAGCCACAGTGCCAGTTCTGGCTTTCTGGTGGTTAATTGGAGGTAAGAGTCTTACACTTTCTTGCCCAAGCTGGCTTTGAACTGAGCTTCTCAGATCTCAGCCTCTTTGAGATCTAGGATTACAGGTGTGACCTACTAGTGCCTGCTGTATAGTTCATTCTCAACATAGTGTCCAGTGAGTACCACTGTCGCATTTGTCCATCTTTTGTCCCTCTGTGTCTGATGGTTGTAGGGTCTTGGTTGCGTTTGAGTAGGGCTTTTGCCACCCCATAGCTCTTTCCATTCTTAGCATGATTGGAGTGATCTGTGATTCTGCCAGTGGCAAAGGCCGGCCTGTCCTGTGGCCTTACTGTGTTTCTGTATCTTACAGAAACTCCTGTCTTTCCCCTCCCACAGGTAATGCGGAAGTCTCACGAAGCCCGGGAAAAGCTGCTGCGGCTAGGGATCTTTAGACAGGTGGATGTTCTGATCGATACATGTCAAGGTACATAATCCCCTTCACTCGTTCTCCAGGACCATAGAACAGCCATGTGTTTAAACATGGAAGGAGCGGAGTTCTACCTCCCCTTGAGGGACCACGGTGTCCACTTGACCCCCGGCCTGCACCTGAGCCCTCAGCGTGATGCTGAAGGAGGGGGTGGCTGCTCTCGGCCTTCTCTTTCCCAGAAGCTGCCCAAGGAGAGCAGATTTCCATCTTTGCCTTGCCTGTTTGGTATGCGAGGTTTGTGGGACTTATTTGTGCATTCTGTTCTTAATGTACACCTAACATGAAGTCTGTTAAAAGAAAACAAAACAGTATGGCACCAAGGCTCTGCCCTCCATCTGCCCTTCACCTGTGGGAGCCAGCTCTTGGGCATGTGAAGTCCTGCTCCGATGGCCTGGGCAGAAGGCAAGGGCCAGGCTCTTCCTGGGAGGGGCCATCGTCCCCACTGAGCCCACACTCTACAATGCCACCCTAGGCCTTGGTTGGTTGTGATGTGGCTGCTCTCATTTCTGACTGCTCACACCCTGGCTGAACGAAGGGCAGAATTTCCTCTTCCAGGTCCTTAACTGTTTCTTTTGAGGGGAGCTAAATTCTCATGGTCTCATGAATTCCTGTTTAAAGACCTCCCCGTGGGAGAGTAGATTTCTTAAGCAAGTATTTGCTTAAGCTAGCTCCTGTAGGCAAGGGTGACTATTTATGTACCTGTCCTACCACAGAATCTAGAAACAAGGCCAGTGTAGTAGTTTACACACCTCAGGTTCAAGACCAGCAAAAGCAAAAAATAACAAAATTCCATTTCAACAAATAAGTCAGTCATGACATTTCTTTTTTTTTTTTTTTTTTGGTTGGTCATGGGGCCTGAACTCTGGGCTTGGGCGCTGTCCCTCAGCTCTTCAGCTCAAGGCTATAACTTTACCACTTGAACCACAGCGCCACTTCTGACTTTTACTGCTTATGTGGTGCTGAGGAATTGAACCCAGGGCCTCATGCATGCAAGGCAAGCACTCTACCACTGAGCCACCTTCCCAGCCCAGGCATGACATTTCATGCCTATAAATTGCATTTATGCAGGAGGCATGCATACAGAAGAAGGTCAGGGTCCAGGTCATCCTGGGCCAAAACATGAAGTCCTATCTGAAAAGTAACTGAAGCAAAAAGCGGTGGGAGGTGTCGCTGGGTGTATAGAATGTCTACCTAGCAAGTCCAAATTCTGATGCTGGAAACTAGGCACAGGGTTTGGGGTTAGGATGTGTGTTTGGTTTTGTGCGGCACATTCTTGAAAGCAGATGACATTGTCTCTCTAGTGGGTGAAGTGATCGCGTGAGCACTCTACTCACGTGTTGACAGCTCCAGCCTTGCTGTTGTTGCTGCTGTTGTTGTTTTTTCCCAGCATGGGGCTTGAATTTGGCCTGGGTGTTGTCCCTGAGCTCTTCAGCTCAAGGCTAATGCTCTACCACTTGAGCCACAGCACCACTTCCAGTTTTTGGGTGGTTTATTGGAGATAAGAGTCTCACTTTCCTGCCCATGCTGGCTTTGAACTGCGATTCTTACATCTCAGCCTTCTAAGTAGCTAGGATTATAGGCATGAGCCACCGGCGCCTGGCTTGCTACTGCTTTTGTTCCTCAGGTGAAGATGCGCTTCCTAATGGGTTGGATGTTACCTTTGAAGTAACAGAGCTGAGGAGGCTGACGGGCAGTTACAACACCATGGTCGGCAACAATGAAGGCAGCATGGTACGCTGGGGCCCACCTGGTACGCCCTGTGGGGACCTTGCACTCCAGCTTCCCAGCCCTTTCTTATTCCATGTGTCACGTGTTGTGTGTCATGTGTCACGCACCATGTGCTGTCTGTCCTTTACCGGGCCTGCGGCTCATTAGCCGGGGGGAGGTAACACTAACACCAGTAAGGAAGAATGTTTTGGAGAAGGGTTGGGGTAGGGGGTCCCATGTCCTGGCCAGAATCCATGTGAGTGCAGTCTTCAGCAAAGGCACCTGATGATGGCTTAAAGCCATGGTAAACACTGACCAGTGGCCAGGTTTGTGCTCTGTCTGGTCTTCTGTTCCTACTAAAAGCCCCATCCTTCTATTTGGACCATTGCTTTTCCTTTTTTATTCTAGGTGCTCGGCCTCAAACTCCCAAATCTCCTAGGACGTGCAGAAAAAGTGACCTTTCAGTTTTCCTACGGAACAAAAGAAACTTCGTATGGCCTGTCCTTCTTCAAACCTCAGCCTGGGAACTTTGAGAGAAAGTAGGAAGCCAAACAGACCCTAGAGCTCCGTGGCTTGGCTTGCGTGTGTGTGTGTGCGCGCCCCCTGGTGGCGGTGGCCCTGAGCTGTGTTTGCATGTGTGCACCTGGGTATCCTGGCTGCTAAGCTCTGTCCCCTTGCTCCTAGCTTCTCTGTGAACTTGCATAAAGTCACCGGCCAGTTCCCATGGAGCTCCCTGCGGGAGACAGACAGAGGCGTGTCTGCTGAGCTGAGCGTGAGTACCGTCCTCCCGGTGTTCCAAGCACCTGTGGGCTCAGTGCGAGGGAGGCCAGTGCCTCTGCTCCAGCACGTGCAGGCGGCATGTGCAGAATAGCTGCAGGCGTGCTGGTCTGGCGCCGTCTGTGCTCTTGGCCGCTTGTCTTCCCTCAGACATAGCCCGCAGAGTGGCTGCATATTGCTGGAAGGTTCCATCATTAGCTCACACTCCAGTTAGGCTAGAGGGATGTGTCTCAAGTGCGGCATACGAATGAATAGTATTTTTACTTTAGTTTTGGCTTTTTGAGGACCCACTCCTTTCTTTGTTTGTACTCTTCTTTCCATGAGACACACAGTATATAGAGAAGTCCCTGAGTGGAGTGTCAGACCCACAGCAGCCCAGGCCCCAGCCTGGAAGAACGGGGGGGGGGGGGGGGGGGGCTGGAGGAGGAGGAGGCCCCGACATGGCCTTGAGACTGGCAGCATGTGTGACCCGGGCTTCTGCAAAGAGATGGGAGCATGCGTTAAGTCCTCATGGCTTGCGTGTGCCGTGGAAGTGTGAGACTGAGGCTTGGGTGGGCTTGCAGGTCAAATACATTCCAGTACCCACAGCTGGGCCCAGCTTCCCTTGCCCATGGCAGACTTACCTTGTCTGGAACGGTGGCTCTCGGACTTCTGCTCTGAGCTCCGGCCCTGTTGGGTCTCCACGGGGCGCCTAGACAGCTGCTGTGGGGGCAGCTGTGGTCAGCACCCCACCTTTTCCCTCATGCCCTCTTGCCTTGTCCCTAAGCCTTGTAAAGTTTAGAGTCCTGGGAAAGTCGGAACACGGGTTCACGTGGGTGGCAGGGAAGGGGAGTGCCGAGGCACAGAGCGGTGGCTGCTGGGAGGGCACAGGTGGGTGGGGGTAGCCTGCGTCGGGAGGGTCAGGCTCTTCTGTGCCCTCAGCTCTCTGCCCTGTGAGGTAGCACCGTCTGTCTTTGGGTCCTGACAGACTGCAGAGCTGCCAGCGGGCCCACTGTGCCAGGCTGGGTGGGTAAGGAGTGAGGGGGTCTGGGTCGATGGGGAAGGACCTGCGTCGCAGAGGTGGTGACAGAGCCAGGGCTCCCCCTCCCCTCACATGGCATCACTGAGTTCTCGGTACCTGGGAGTTGCTGAGATTCTTGTGGGTTGTCTCTTAGGCTTAGGGGTGGGGAAGGACACAGGCTGTGCTCTGGGAGCTTAGGGAGAGCTGGCTTCACAGCTGCCAGCAGCCCCATTCCTGCTTCTGAGAGGAAGTGGGGTGCTGTCGTGGGGCCTGGGACGCTGGCTCGGCTTTCCCCACAGTGTCCAGGCGGCGGAGCGGGTATGATGGAGATGACGGCACGTGTTGTAGTCGCCTCCAGCTTTCAGGCCTCCTCTGCTCCCCCTCAGTTATTTAACCAGTTCCGCTGACGGCATCTCACTGCCCGTGTGCTTGCAGTTCCCCATCTGGAGAACCTGCCACACCGTGAAGTGGGAGGGCGTGTGGCGGGAGCTGGGCTGCCTGTCCAGGACCGCATCGTTCGCCGTGCGCAAGGAGAGTGGCCACTCGCTCAAGTCCTCTCTCTCGGTAAGGCCCGGCTGCACGCTGGAATTGCCACCGTGCACTGCCTTGTGCCACTGTTTTTCAGTGGTACTCGTGGTGCCAGGAATTGAATTGATGTGCTTCAGAGTCACCAGAGGCAGCAGCTGGCTGGCTGGCTGGCTTTGGCCAGAGCACCAGGCTCATGAGAGACGGGGCAGCCCCATGGCGGGTGGGAGCCCTCCTGGACTCCTGGGAGTTGGAGCTAGGTAAAGGAGGGCCAGAAGCCCGCAGCCAAGCCAAGGCGCGCTGCGACTTCAGCGGCCTTGCCCAATGTCTTCCAGCATGCCATGGTCATCGACTCGCGGAACTCCTCCATCCTCCCGCGATGTGGGACCTTGCTGAAGGTCAACCAGGTACAGCCACTCCAGAAGGCGGGGAGCCTTTCCACCACCTCACACTGGGTACCGGCTCAGGGCAGCCCTAGAGGATGGGGTGCACAGTATGCATAAGTATTCAGCTTTTCCTAAGGCCTGAAAATGTAGCTGTGGTAGAGTGCTTTTCTAGCATGTGTGGATGGCCCTGAGTTCCACCCCTAGAACTTCAGAAAGAAGAAAGTTCTAGAAAAGTTTGCAAGGATGGTTAGCTCCACTCAGGGACCCTGGCATCACTCCTTGTCCTGTAGTTCAGTCCTGTGCCTTCACAGAACCTGGGGTGACAGACGCAGTAAGCGGGTGGTGGGGAGAAGGTGGTGCAGACAAGCAACAGGCCAGCAGAGGGCGCATGCTTCCACTCCTCCGGCTCCTCCGAAGCCTGTAGTCTACCTTCACTTCCCCTCTTGTACTGAAGCGGACTTTCCGCCCTGCCATGAGGTTAGCCACCTTGCCAGTACAAGGGAGGTTGTGCGGGGCCGGAATCTAGCCAGAAGCAGGATCTTGAGTTTCAGAAGAGCAGACAGAAATGGGAATGCCCTGCAAGTGTCCTGCACTGGCCCAGGGCAGCTGACCTTCCCAAACGGGGCACTGAGCCACCTGTCCGTCGGGAGCTGTGCTGTCTGCTGCATCCCCCACAGTGGTTCAATGCGCACCACAATCCTCTGTTTCTGTCCACTCAGCGCAGAGGACACAGCATCTAGGGCATGGCAGGTTCTGCTGCTTTCTGAAAACACAAGACAATCACAAAACCCATTTGCTCCTCTGAGCTGTGGCCCTTGTGTGCAGGAGCTGGCCGGCTACACCGGAGGAGATGTGAGTTTCATCAAAGAAGACTTTGAGCTCCAGCTCAACAAGCAGCTCATGCTGGATTCTGTGAGTGGGTGCCCGCTCCCATCCCCCATCCCCTTTGGGGAACAGTAGTTCCTGAACCAGAGTCCGAATTCTTTACACTGCAGTGTCAGCTCCCCGGTAGTGTGGCATGGGGGGCCAGCACCGGGAAGCCAGGGCGGAAAGTGAGTTCCAGGCCATTCTAGGCGCCGTAGGGAGACCCTGTCTCAACAAGAAAAGAACACAGCCCACCCAGCAACCTTTGTCCCTGACGTCAGCGCTTCCGAGTCCACTGATGTGTGCAGGCCCTTGGCAGCCCGGCCTCCTGCCCAGCTTCAGCCCTGCCTCATCTCTGCTTGGACCCTGCCATCTCACCTGCCATTATACGTACATCCTGCTATAGTGCTCTTCCTGCAGTCTGCTCACCCCTACATCTCCCTCCCCAAAGCCCCACCTAGGTCTAGTGGGTGGGTAAGTGCTGTGGAGGCAGACCCCTGACCTGGACATGAGGATGCACAGAGGGGTCTGCCTGGTGCAGGGAGGAGTATCAGCGTCCAGGCCTTCATCCAGCCTGATGGCCACGACATTGCTGGCTTTGTGTAGGGTGCGGGTCGCTCGTTCCTGCCCTGTTCTGCCTCGTCCGCCAGGCCCGGCTTGTCCTGCGGCCAGCGCTTCCCATAGCAGAGGGGCTGATCACCTGAGCTCTGCCGCACTTGAGGCTGGCTTCCCTTGGAATTTGTCACAACCATGTGGCATTCAGGGTGGGCCAGCTTTTGCCTGCTCGTGTCCCTGGGAACACGGGCGTGCAGGACGGCAACTCCGGTCCGCTCTGTTGGCACAGGTGATCTCGGCATCTCTCTGGGGAGGAATGTTGGTGCCCATCGGTGATAAGCCCTCAAGTATTGCCGACAGGTAAGTGAAAGTCCACCATCAGCCATTTGCTGTCCACCAGCGGCCGTTTCTTCATGCGAGGTCCCCTGGATCTTGATGGGTTTGTTATTCTTATTTTTTGTTAATCATGGGGCTTAAACTCAGGTCCTGGGTGCTGTCCCCAAGCTGTTTTGCACATGGCTAGCAAGCACTCTACCACTTTGAGCCATTTTGAGGAATTGGAAATGAGTCTCATGGACTTTCTGCCCAGGCTGTCTCCAAATCGCAATCCTCAGATCTCAGCCTTCTGAGTAGGTAGGATTGTGGTGTGAGTCACCAGCACCATTGTTGGCTATTTTCTTTTTTCGAAGATGGGTGATTTAGCTACACTGTACTTTATACGTTAGAGCTCTTTTTGAAGCACTGGATTTTCATTATTATTTTATCACATTAAGTGGTGGTCTTTTATTATTATGAAAAATGTAGTTCACACTTGTAGACATGCAAAACTAGAGAAATAATTATTAAAAAGTGAAATCTGCTGGACGCCAGTGGCTCACACCCGTAATCCTGGCTACTCAAGTGGCTGAGATTTGAGGATCATGGTTCAAAGCCAGCCCAGGCAGGAATGTTTGTAAGATTCTTTATCTCCAATTAACCACTAGAAAAACCAGAAGTGGTGCTGTGGCTCAAGTGGTAGAGCCCTAGCCTTGAGCTGAAGAGTACAGGTCAGTGCCCAGGCCAAGACTTCAAGACCTATGACTGACTTAAAAAAAAAAAAGTTTTTTGTTTTGTTATTTAATTATAAGGGGTTACAGGTTAAAAAGTTCAATGTTACTTGGTGACAAGTAAGAGTTTACATTTGGAACTCTGTTCTCCCAGTATTTGTGGTGGCCGTGCCTTTTGTGTGTGCATATATGTGCATTGTATGTGTGTGTGTGCAGTAACATCTACGTATATGTGTGTGTGTGTGTTAAGGTGTTAAGATATTGATTTACATAGAAGTTTCTGTCTTTGTTAAGAAACTTTTTAAAATTTATACAGAGTAATCATTCACCCAGTCTTGAGAATTTTTTTTTAAAGCAATGCTGGAGTTTGACTCAGGGCCTCCTCGCATTTGCTAGGCAGGTGCTCTACACTTGAGCCACACCCCAGCCCTTCTTTGCTGTAGTTATTTTAGGGATAGGGTCTTGTATTTATGCCCAAGCCAGCCTATACCTTGATCTTACCTATCATTCTCTAGGATAACTAAAGTGGCAGGCGTATGCCACAGTGCCCAGCTGTTGGTTGAGATGGATCTTGTGAACTTTTTCTGGTTTTCTTATGGTAGAACAAAGGTTTGAACTCAGTGTCTTAGGCTAGCTAGGCTGGCAGACTACACTAAGTCACGCCTCCTCTCTACTTTTGTGCTATTGGTTCTTGCTTCCTGCCCAGATACATGGTCACCATCTGCCTACTTACAGGTTTCCCACAATTGCTGGGATTACAGATGTGTGCCATCATATCCACTAGCTTCCCTCTGTGGAGTCTCTTGAACTTCTGGGGCTGGCCTAGCAGCGTGAACCTCCCAGTGTTAGCCTGGTATGTAGTTTGGGATGACTGACATATGCCACTGTGTTCAGGATGGGTTGGAAGGGAGGCGACCTCTCTAGAGTCACAGTCCTCCCCATCTCAGGCTTCCAAGCAGTGGGGGTTGTAGGTACGAGCCATTGCCGCTTGCCCTCTGGAACTTCTTTGTTTGGGCTTGCCTCCATCTTTCATCCTTTCCATCTTACTCTTAAATAGCTGGAATTAAAGTATGAACCGCCACACCCCACTGAAATCTTCTAGAGTACATTTTACAGCATGCGTGTAATGTAACATTACTTGCACATACCTCACTTTTCACCCTACCCCATACTTTGAGCATTTGGAGTTTGAACTCAGGGTCTGTGCTTGGCAGGCAGGCACTCTACCACTTTAGCCATACCCCCAGCGGTAGTTAAAGGAGAATTGAAGCAGGGCAGTGGTCGTTCTGGCCTAGCTTCCTGGGAGGCCCAGGCCCCTGGCTGCCCTCAGGGCCCTGCAGATGTGCTGGGCCACACCAGGGCAGAGCATTGGCATGGCTGGTGAGCACAGCATGCAGGGGGCTGGTCTTCCCAATTTTCCCTCCGTAGCCAAGTGTTTGTGAATGTAGTCATCGAACTGGAGTTTAAAAGTCCACTATGTGGCTACCCCTCGGGCCTGTGTGTTCAATGCCTGGGCCCCACGGGTGTCATGGGACCCGGCTGGAGGAGGTCAGCTTGTGGGCATCCCTACCACCTTTCCCTCCCTCTGCTTCCTGTCCACCATGAGCTGGACAGCCTTCCCCTCCGCTCCTGCCGCCACCGTGCTCAGCATCAGCAGAACAGAAACCTCTGAAACCCCCGGCCAGAATCAGTACTCTCCCGTGACTTGTGCCAGCATCCTGCCAGAGCGGTGAGGAGGCAAACAGCACGCCTCGTGTTTTTTAAAGAAATGATAAGGTGGCAGGGTGCTGTGGCTCACACCTGTAATCCTGGCTACTGAGGAGGCTGAGATCTGAGGATTGTGACTCAGTTCTCAGGGTTGTCGGCCAAAGCAGACTAATCCAAGAGAATCTTAACCTCTAATCTAGCACTTTCAACCAGAAGTGGAGCTGCAGCTCAAGTGGTAGAGCACCAGCAGTAGAAAAAGCCAAGCAAGGGCTAGGATGTAGCTCAGTGGCAAAGTGCTTGCCTAGCAAATGCGATGTTCTGGGTTGGATCCCCAGTACGTTGAAAAGATTTTTAAAAATACAGTTTAAAAAAAACACACACACACAAAAAAAAAACAGGGCTGGGAAGATGGCTTAGTGGTAGAGTGCTTGCCTAGCACACATGAAGCCCTGGGTTCGATTCCTCACTACCATATACACAGGAAAAAGCTGGAAATGGTACTGTGGCTCAAGTGGTAAAATGATAGAATGTGAGGCCCTGAATTCAAGCCCCAGTACCAGCACAAAAACAAGGAATATGAAGACTTGCCAGTCTTGCGGTGTGCGATGTGTGTGTAGTGTTCCGATGAGTGGCTCTGATTGTGCTGTTGTTCACAGGTTTTACCTCGGAGGACCCACCAGCGTCCGTGGATTCAGCATGCACAGCATCGGGCCTCAGAGTGAAGGTTGGTCCACGCCTCTCCTTGTGCAGGCCATGGTCTGTCCATGTGTCTCCTGCTTGAAGGACAGCAGTGATAGATGCTTGCATTTTACAGCAGTGCATCCTACGGCAGGCATTGGTGCTGATTGAGTCTTATTAGAAAGGGAGGAAGTAGATCTCAGCAAAAGTACTTAGAAGATGGGGCTGGGAAGGTGGCTTAGTGATAGAGTGCTTACCTTGTGAACAGCCCTACTAGTGTTCCACTGATGGCATTTCAGTTTGCAGAAGAGTGGTGGAAATTCCTGGCTCACATCCCTCCCCCTCCCCACCCCCGAGCATTGCATCTCCTGTGGAGCATTGGCTAGAAATAGTGAGCCAGGGCTGGGCGCTGGTGGCTCACGCCTGTCATCCTAGCTGCTCAGGAGGCTGAGATCTGAGGATCAAGGTTCAAAGCCAGCCCGGGCAGGAAAGTCCATGAGACTCTGATCTCCAGTTACCCACCAGAAAACTGGAAGTAGCGATGTGGCTTAAAGTGGTAAAGTACTAGCCTTGAGTGCAAAAGCTCAGGGACAGCAGCGCCCAGGACCTGAGTGCAAGCCCCACGGCAGACAGCACCAGTAAATTCTTACTCAAGCCCCTAGTCGTCTCGGGCAGTCGATGATCAGACAAATGCCCATGTCCTGGGAGCCATTTCACTGGCCCCAAACCCTGGGCTCTGCCCTCTCCTCCTCCATCTCCCACACAGTGAGCTCCTGGCAAACATATTTGGTTTTTTTTTTGTTGTTTTTTTTTTGTAGTGTTGGGGTTTGGACTCAAGGCCTTGTGCTAGCTCCACCACTTGGTTCCCCTTCTAGCATCCCTCCCTTTTATTTTGCTAGCTGTTTTGGCAGTAAGAGTCACATAGCCTTTTCTGCCCAGGCTGGCTTCAAACTTCAATCTTGGTATCTCAGCTCCCTGATTAGCTGGGATTATAGGTGTGAGTCACTGGTACCCAACTCAACCAGACTTTTTTTTTAAACGGTCTCTGGTTTTCCAGAGCGTCAGAGTTGGAGCCACACAGTCTGGGGCATTTTCAGACTGACTTTCTCAGCCGTGTGCATGGAAGGCCTCCATGTCTTTTGGGGGCTGTCAGGGATTTGGTTCCAACTCAGGTGAACCACAGTTCTTTATCCACTCGGCTGCTCTAGTGTTGCTTGATCACATAGAACTTCAGTAAACTTGTATGCAGCCCCTACAGATGTGAGCTTGATATCTCTGGGTAAATACCAGAACATGGGGCTGGGCCAAGGTAAGAAGCTTCCACCAGCTTCCAAGTGGGCTGTCTGTTTTACATTCTCCCCAGTAAGTGGTTTATAGTGGCTGCCGCTTTGCTTTCTTGACTATAATTGTTTTAAACCCAGATCTAGGTTGTGTACATTGATGCTGCATTTGAAATGATTACAAAGCAGCGCCTTGGCCTTGGCCCTCATGTCTGTCTATCTGTGATGTCAGGTGTGGGTCTGGATGGAAAGCAGATGTGCTGGGAAACTTTAAGTGTCTTGCTGTCTGGGAAGGGGTCGTGGCCACTCTCCCTCTACCCGCTTTGCTCCCCAGCACCTGCTGCCTCAGAGGTGTGACCACCGTCACTGAGCCCAGTAGGCAGTGTTCTAGCAGGTTCTCCAGCTTTATAAAATTCCTGTAGTCTGTGCTGGTGGTCACCCCTGTAATCCTAGCTACTTAGGAGGCTGACATTTGAAGATTGTGTTTTGAAGCCAGCTTGGGCAGGAAAGTATGTGTGGTGTTGATGTCCAGCTACTACAAAAGCCAGTGGTGGAGCGATGGCTTAAGTGCAAAATGCTTGTGCAAAAATGCTCAGGGACAGTGCCCAAGCCCTAGGACCTGCACAAAAATAAAAGTCTCTTAAAACTAGCCCCCGCAGGAACAGAGGTGGCCGGGTGGCTGGTCAGTAGAAGGACAAGCTCAGGGGACACCCTCGCTGGGTGATGGCATGATGTCTCAGAAAGGTGCAGGAGGCAGAGCAAGGCAGAGTGGAGCCGGGACAGCCTCCAGGCAAGGGGCGGGGCGGGGCAGTGGTGAGAGGGTTCAGATGTCCACTGGAGTGCGGCCGGACAGGAAGGGTGGCCATCTGTTAACTGAAGTGTGTGTACACACTGTTCCCTGGTGGTGGTCCTCGTTCTCAGTGTTTCTGAGGTTTTTTGCAGTAGGTCCATGTTTAGATCAGACTTACAATGAGAAAGGAAGGGGGGGGGTCTGGAATGGAGCAGAGTTGGCCTCCCCCATCAGTGGACTCTTAAGCGGGCAGGCTGCCCAGTCCTGGGGGGGGGGGTCCTGCTGAGGATGAGCAGAGTGTTCTTTCTGAGGTCTGCTGTTGTCCAGGAGGGCACTGAGACAGGCGGGCTGGTAGACACTGAGTGGCTGGAGGGGGTCTTGGCTCTGGTGACTGAACAATGCAGGAGACCTGAACTGCTGACAGTGTAGAGGTGGAGCGGACACTTCGCCTAGTCCTCATCCCTGTGCCCGGAACCTGCACAGATGGCTGCGTTTTGTTTTTTGGTCTGGAAAGTTTGCTGAAATATTGCATATCTGCAGGTTGTGGCAGCACGGGTCTAACCCCAGCTACTCGGGAGGCGGGGGCAGGAGCATCTCAAGTTGGAGGCCACAGGCGCCCCCCCACCCCCACCCCACACTCCTGTAGGCAGAGTGCTTGTTCATCACAAGACCCTAAGTTCAGCCTTCACTACCACAGAGCAAAAGCCAAAACCACAGGCACTTCACGGCATCGTTCCCTGCCAGGTGGCCTGTGCGTATTTATAGAGACCAACAGTTCTGGTGGATTCAAGTTCATCCTTCCCTAAGCCGCTCTGCCTTCCGCCTCAGGAAAGCAAGAAAAGAAAATACTTAAAATGAGGCCGAGGGAGGAACAGGAGGAGAGAGGGGGCGGTGGGGGAGGAGGAAGAGGAAGGGTGGGAGTTGAGCCCCTGTCCTGTGTTATGTTTTGTATTTGATGGTCAGGGTTCCGCTCGCCCCTGAGGCCTGTGGGTATTGACTGTGTTGTTCTGCGTTGCTCTGTTCTGCACCGGCAGGAGACTACCTGGGCGGGGAGGCATACTGGGCGGGCGGCCTGCACCTGTATAGCCCGCTGCCATTCCGGCCCGGCCAGGGCGGCTTTGGTGAACTTTTCCGAACCCACTTCTTCCTCAACGCAGGAAACCTCTGCAACCTTAACTATGGTAAGACTCACCTGCCGCGAGGCCAGCGCGACCCTGAGAATGGGGCCTGCGACATCCTTAAAGCAAAGGCTTGGACCAGTGGGTGGAGTGACGGGAGCATGCCAGGAAAGTGGCCTCCAGTGCTGTCTTCAAAGGCAGTCTGTTGTTCACTTCACCATGCCTCGAGTCTACTTCACTGTGCCTTGAGCTCTGTCTGTGGGTCACTGGACCCCAAAGTGCAGGATGCACATGCCACCCTCAGGGCCCCCTGCCGGGGAAAACGCTGCAGCCCTTGTCTAGCCTAAGGCAGGAGTCAGGGCTTCCCAGTGCGCGGGTGGGGCCAGGGAGTCAGGGGACAGAACATGCAGGCCCAGGGTATTGAGAAGACTCAGCTAAGGGGGTACAAAGGAAGTGAGGGGCCAAGCCCCTAATTATAGGGTGCAGATCTCCCCACGTATGTATCTAAACAGCCCTTTGCTCACATGTCCCCTTTTCTTTCAGGGGAAGGCCCCAAAGCCCACCTCCAGAAGCTGGCTGAATGTATCCGCTGGTCGTATGGAGCTGGTATCGTCCTCAGACTCGGCAACATTGCCCGCCTGGAGCTTAATTACTGCATCCCCATGGGCGTGCAGCGGGGTGACAGGTGCGTGCCTGCTCCTCAGGCGGGCAGCTCTGCAGATGCTTCCTACCACACCTTCCTCTGAAGGGAGCCCTCCCTCTCTCTCTCTCTCTCTCTCTCTCTCTCTCTCTCTCACAGGCACACACACACAACTGTGGTTCATGCACTTGAACCCATGGACTCCACCAATTGAGTAGGAAGGCAGGGTTGCAGTACCGACCATGGCCACCTGGTGTCAGTGTGCGCCCGGCAGTGGCATTGCTCCCAGAGCCTTAATCCAGAGCCGTACTTCTCTCTCTCTCTCTCTTGCTTGCCCTCAGGTTAAATCTGAAAAATGGGTTTCAGAGGCTAATTCCAACAGGTGTCTTTGGAAGGAAGCAGCCTGCTTTGAGGTTCTGTGCACAGGCCAGAGTGGAGGGGTAGTGTCCCCAGGCTGGGCGCAGGCTCTCTGCCCTGCTGCCATGTTGGTGGAGCAGATGTCTGCTCTGGGCAGTGATGCTGCCCTGGCATAGCATCCCATTCCTGGCGTGAAGCTTTGTGGTCAGAAGGGGATTTTGTGGTGTGGCCTGGTAGTGTCTCAGAGCAGGACGGTCTGTGAGGAGCCGCCCTGAGCCCTGCAGTACACGGCATGCTGTAACTGGGAACTGAGGCCTTTACAGAGGAGATGGGTCTGAGATGCCTGCCCAATCTATCCCAGAGTGATTCATGGTGCTTTCACTTCACTCCCAGAGCTCCATCTCTAGAGACTCTTGGCAAGTCAGCACTTGCTTTTGGGGGAGGGCTGGGGTACCCTCCAAGAGTGTGGAACTCCTGTCCTAAACCTGAGAACTTGAGCTGCAGGGGGCTGTGCGCTGCTGGTGAGGTGCGTGTGGGCAGTCTGCAGGGGTGCAGGGAAGCTGCTGGAGGGGCTGGGGGAGTTCCACACTGGGGATGAGCTTTCCCCTCGCCCATCCCCTGCCCTGTGGGTCGTGCGCCTTCCCCATCTTCAAGACCTCAGCTGCCAATTCATGGCGAATATCCTGGGCCAGGGCTGCAGCAGGCAGCGATAGCGAGGAGAGGGGAGAAGCAGCGGGCGATGGAGGGGTCTGGAAGGTGCAGGGCCTGGTGGCAAGCAAAATTAGCTTGGCTCCCTTGGAGTAGCTGCAATGCCTGCTTGCTTTCTGAGTTAGGTAAGCCAAAACCTTGGTTATTTTTGTCTCAGTGCTTATTTGCAGACGTTACTCTAAAATGGCAAATGTCAGCATAGGCATTTTTTTGCTGACCTGACGGCAGACATAAAAGCAAACCACTTAGACCCGACCCCACTAAGTGGTGCAGACAGTGCCAGCTTTGATTTCACATCTTTGCCTTTCAAGGGTAAGTCACAGCGCCTGCCTGCAAGTGCACGTTCACGGCTCTGCCTGGGTCTGCAGTGGATAGCCGTCCATCCCAGAAAGTGCTGTGCCCGCTCTGACCCCTGACCCTTGCATCGCCCCTCCTTCCCGATCAGGAGCAGACGGGCAGCCAGGCCAGATCGAGGAACCCAGCACGCTTCCAGCGGCAAGGGGCTTTTTGTTCCTCCTCCCCCCTTACCCCGGCCCTTCTCAGTGTGTGCCCCCCCCCCCATCAGGGAGGAGGCAACACCAGGTTTATATCTTCATTTTGCCTGTTCCAGTCACCAGAAGCTGTTTCTTAGCCTACCAGGAAGAAGTAGCTGGGGTTGGGGACTCAGGTTGTGAAAGCCAGTGTTAACTTCTACCTCTCTTTTCAGGATATGTGATGGCGTCCAGTTTGGGGCTGGAATTCGCTTCCTGTAGCTGGTGCCCCTGCAGGAGCTGCTCCGGAACCACTCGCTGCGCGCAGTGCACACTGGTCCTGTGAGAACCATGTCAATAAATTTTAAAGACAGATCTTGCGCAGGGCCGTGGGTCTGGTCTGCTTCCTCCAGGCCCTCACCCCTCACGGGCCTTCCTGGGGCAGCTGCGTTCACACATCCTAGGGTTGGGACCCAGGGACCTCTCAAAATAGTTGGGAACTACTCTTAACATGTGGCACATTTTACTTTATTTTTATTTTTTATTTATTTATATTTTTTGTCAGTCGTGGGTCTTGAACTCTGGGCTTGGGCTTTGTCACTGAGCTCTTCAGCTCAAGGCGAGCGCTCTACCACTTGAGCCACAGCGCCACTTCTGGTTTTCTAGTGGTTTATTGGAGATAAGAGTCTCATGCACCTTCCTGCCAGGGCTGGCTTTGAACCATGATCCTCAGATCTCAGTCTTTGAGTAGGTAGGGTTACAGGCGTGAGCCACCAGCGCCCGGCTATGTGGCACATTTTAAACCTCCTTTGGAGTCTTCCGGACAGTGGTGCCTGGCTTGAGGCCTGCCCTTCCCACGCCATGTGGGGCCCTCACTTCCCTGCCTCCTGGCCCCCTTTGATGATGTTTTTGCCAAGTGACCTTGGGGTTTGGGGAGCAGCCTGAGCCCAGGGAGAGCCTCAGTCACCCCCAGGCTATCCGGGACCCCCCCTACCTCCACCCACGTTGGCTGGGCTTCACGGAGACAAGGGAGGGGCCCAGCTTGCCTTTCCTAGTTGGGAGAGTGAGGAAATAAACTTTCCCTGAGTTGTGAAGCGTTTGCGCTCTCATCGTGCTTGTAGCGAGATGCACAAGCCATGGCCCTGGCTTCTGTGTTTCCAGTGTGGATTCAACCAAAACCCAGCAGTAGCTCCTCAGCCCCCCAGACCTCTGGGCCTGTGTCTCCCACATCGGAGGAGACCCCGGAGCCCCAGAAGCTGGCTGTGGAGTTGCTGCAGGACGAGCCCACTGTGGGCAGTGCAGCCTGAGGAGTTCAGCCGAGAGCTGCCTCTACTTGGTGGCAGACAAGGGGAGCCGGGAGCGCACCCCTGCTGGTGGCAGGGCAGGGGGGGAGAAGAGGGGGGGTGGCCAGAGACCCCAGGAAGGGCTTTTCACCTAAGACCATGTTCTTGGGCAAAGAGTTTTCATAGCTCCAGCTCTGGGGACCCAGGTAGAAAAAGAGGAGGCTGAGAAAGCTCTTGGGGAGCAACACGGCCCTGCGTGTCATTCTGTGCCTGCACGTTCTGCACAGGGCTGGAGGTGAGCCTAGTGACCCGGCAGCCCTTGCTGGCTGGCTACCGTGCACTTGGTGCAGCCAGAGATGCCAGCCAGTGCCCCCGATGGTGTGTTGTTTCGGGAAAGTGTGCAGTCAGGACCACAGCAAGTCCAGGGTTTTCGGCAGCGCCGGCCCCCAGAGCCATGGCCACTGTGGCCTCACCTGCGTCTTCACATCCTGGGATCCAGCTTGAGTGTGTGCCCCTGGCGCCTGCTGTGGTCACAGGTCAAGTCCATGGGGGCCCCAGGGCCCACCAAGCATGGGGCGCTCGGGAACCAGCAGTTCCCAGAGAGACAGGCGGACCAGAACGAAGCAGCAGAAACTTCCAGTGTAGTGGGTGAGGGTTAAAGTTAGGCAGGAGTGATGATTCTTCGAAGCGCCTCCAGGGCGGGCCTGTGTCCTGCCCACAGCAGCAGGTGGGTTCTGGAAAGCAGCTCCCAAGCAGGGCTCAGCGCCCAGCGCGCCCCTGGCCTGTCCACATCCCGTCAACTAACAGATTCTGCGATCACCTCCCTCCTAAAGGGGGGGCTGCTGCTGCTGGCGGCTTCACTGCCCTGAGCCTACCTGCGGTGCGGGGCAGAGCTCACCTCCGCTAGGAAGTGACAGGAAACAAGGGGCTGCAGTCCTGCTTAGCCCTCAGGGCATGCACCAATAGCTCAGGGGTCTATAGACCCCACTTTGAGTGTCTCCACTTGCACACACTAGGTAGGCTTTCTGCCACCAGGCCGCACTCTACCCCTAACAAGGGATGCTTTTTTTGTGTAGGGGTGTGATGTGTGCCTGTACCAGAGCCTGCCTGAACTCAGGACCTTGTACTTGCTCAGCCAGCTTACTTGCTCAGCTGGCTCTCTGCCCCCTGAGCCATGCCTCCAGCCCTGCTTCTCATTTATTAGTTAGAGGTGGAATCTCATGGATTTTCTTGCCCAGGCTGGCTTCAAAAGGAGATGCTCAGATCACAGTCTCCTGGGTAGCTAGGATTGCAGTGTGTTTTAACAGCTGCAGTGTGGAATCAAGCAAGTGGCCATCTCCCGTCCCTCACGGTAGTGGCCATCTGGCCCTGGCTCCTGCTCCTCTCCCCAGGCCTCGCTTGTACCACCCTCCCTGGGACGTGGAGGAGAGCGGGAGCTCAGCGCTGCCACAGTACTCATGTAAGAGCAGTGATTAATGTCAACAATGCCCTGACAGCCTTTGGGTGCTTGGATAGTTGGCTGTCAAACCAATTTCCCCAAACTCCAACTCTCCACTTGAAAGCTCACATCTTTCCCATTGGCACCAGATTACCCCCTGTCGCTTTCCTTGAAGCTCTCCACCATCCAGAGGCCAGTGCCAGCCAGCCAGGCAAGAAGAGCGGAGTGTGGGCGTGAGGGTGGCGGCCGTGCCGGGGAGCGGGGAGCTCGGGGTGCTCCCCTCCACTTCTGTCTCCCCAGGCCTGGTTATTCCTCTTCCTGCATGGTGTCCATTAGTGGCAGTAATTACAAAACCTCCATGGACTTGAGCGGGTTTTGTGTGGACCTAAACAAAAGCCGCTCGCTGTGCAGAGGCTCAGGCTGGGGACCTGAGCGCCCCTTTCCCCGCCATGCCCAAGGCTGTGGGTTTCAGCCTCCAGCGCCACGCACATGTGCACATACATACGCACGCCTTTGACTGTCACACAGATCACATTCGCTCTTCTGTCAGCTCCTTCTTCTGTAAAATGAGGGTGCTGGCCTTGTGAGTAACAGGAAGTGTGGGCGAGTGACCAGCACCCAAGGGGAGCTCAGACATGGCAGTATAGCTGGAGGGGCAGTGGATCTGGGGTGTGGGTGGATTGTGTGGGTAGGAAGGAATCTGCCTCAGGACCTTAGATGCCCCAGATGTGAGAAAGACACAGGTATCACGAAAGTGTCTGGAGATTTGTATGCAGTGTGTGTGCATGCATGTGCACATACACCAATGCTAGAGCTCCAACTCAAGGCCTGGGCATTGTCCCTCAGATTTTTTTGCTCTAGGCTGGGCACTTGACTACTTAAACCACAGCTCCACTCCTGGCCTTTTACTGATTAATTGGAGATAAGTGTCTCACTTCAAATCATGGCTTCAAATCATGATCTTCGGAGCTCAGCGTCCTGCGTAGCCAAGTATTACAAGTGTGAGTGTTCAGTTCTGAGTGAGGCACAAGACGTATTTTCACATTTACAAGTGCAGATTTCCCTTTGAGAAGGAAGCCACGGGAGGCCGCATCAACACTTCCTCCCTGGGTCAGACCAGCTGTCTTGTTTCTACGAAAGAAAGAATCCTTTGCCCTAGAGAAGGGGCTCTGTGGAAGTCAGGGGAACCCCGACAGGCCATCACTGGACTTCTTTATCAAATCATTAAATGACTTTTAAGGGGAAAAAAGAGAAATGTTTAGGCCAGATGAAAGGCAGAATTACCTTGGTAGAAAAATAAGTAGTCATCAACTTTGAAAGTATCTTCCATAAATCTGACTGTGAAAATTACAGCTTCCCTGGAATCCATTTGACTGTGGTGACCTCGCACTTCCCACCTCCGCCTGTCAGCCAGCATCGTCTCACTACCCCAGGCTGAGCCAGGCGCAGGCCTGGACCCTGGCCCTCCGCTGAGTGGGAGACCCCCAGCCCCAGCTCGCAGCTCACATCTCACTACCACACCTGGAGGTCATTTCCTGGAAACACCGGCTGGGCTGCCTGGCACGTTGGGTGTCACAGAGGTGGTGCTGCAGCCTCGATGTTGAACACGGGAGGGCCCTGGTCACGCTACCCTCACCCAGCGAAGTGCTGACATCCAGCAGATGAATTTCCTGCCTTGTAACTGTCAACGCATGTCACAGGAGAGGTCATGCCGTGCTGACCAGGCCCGGGTCACCGGGAGTCTGACCCTGCTGGGCCTGCACCTCCTGAGCCCCCGCCCCCAGCCAGGGCCACCGGGGTTTCCTGGCTGGAAACCGCCCCCTCGCTCCTCTTCCGGAATCTGGGTGGAAGAGCTGGCTTTGAATTCCCACTTCCTCTGTCCATTTTCTCACTTCCTTAACACTCAACGGACAGATGCTGAGCGGGGCCCAGGGTGGGTGGCCACTCAACAACAGAGTTCTGCCCACCTGTGCAGCCCCAAAGGCCCTCAGCACTGGCCCCTCTCTCCCCTCAACACCCCCCCCCCTATCTGCTGTATTTCAAGTGCTAGTAGCTCATGCCTGTAATTCCAGCAACAACTCAGGAGGCTAAGATCTGAGGATTGTGGTTCAAAATGACTGGGTAGAAAATCCCCAATTAACCAGCAAAAAGCCAGAAGTGGAGATGTGGTTCAAGTGGTAGAGTACCAGCCTGAAGCAAAAAAGCTCAGGGACAGCCTCCAGGCTGAGTTCAAGCTCTGGAACTGCGCACAAGTGGCCTTTGGTTGCAGTAGCTGGAGTCTGCTGCTGCCCCTCCTCCAGACCCTGTTGGTTCTGTCTGGCACCCTGGGAGGATCCCCAGTCCCCCTCCACCCGCCCCAGGCCCCAGGTCTCCCATTGGAGAAAACAAGCCTCTCCCTTTTTGGGCTTGCAACAGTGAACAGTAAAGCAGGCAGTAAAGCGGGGGGGGGGGGGGGGGGGGGGAAGGGGGGGTAAGAGGGGGGCAGATACGAAGCAACAGAACCTGGGAGAGGGGACAAGGCTCCCGCCCAAGGCAGAGGTAGGGGGCCCCCAAGCAGCACAGGTCACAGAAGCAGCTGTCCAGGTAGCAGATCTTGGGGCTGCCCTGAACTCCTGCTTTGCTTGTCTCCCTGCCTAAGCCAGCACAGACAACAGGGCAA